GTAAACATTATCAAGTTATCTCAATTAATAAACGCTTGCTAAACTTTTGCTTTAGTTTAGATGATTTAAATTTATTAGTTGACTGTTTGGTATGTTGTTTCAACTCAGAAATCTATGTCAATTTAACTCAAGTGTTGAAGAAAAAAACAAAAATAAATATAGCATTCCTACTTCACAGTTTTTCACTTATCTGGAACATAACCCCCACAATAAACGAGGGACTACTGTATGTCTTCTTTTCAGATGCATAACCATAATTTCTGTTTTTCAAACATAACTAACAAATCAAGGGAAATAATGTAGACATGTTTTTTTTATAAAGAATCACATAAATAACAGTTGAAAATATAGGGTGAGAAATCTTCATTATGTGCATTTCTGGAGTTGGAGTCAGCCTCCCCACCATCACAGACATCTACACCTCCAGATGCAGGAAGAGGGCCACCTGCATCATGAAGGACTCCACTCACCCAGCACACACATACTTTTTGCCCCACTCCCCTCAGGCAGGAGGTTAAGGAGCATTACATGTAGAACCACTAGACTGAGGAACAGCTTCTACCCTGAAGCTGTTAGACTCATGAATCTCTAACCAGAAAAATCACATGTTGCTGCTGATCTGTTTCAATGTTGATGTGTTCACATGCGTGCTCATCTGCTCACACAGACTCATGTTCATGTTTGTGCTGCTGTTCAATGTAATGTTTTTATGCTATTAGTACTTAGTGTATTTTTACTTGATGTTTTTCTTAGTTCATATCTTAGATGTTATCATTGTTTTTCTTTCGAGCTGGTCTGGGAAGTTCAGTCCTCACCTCCTTCTACAGGTGTGCAGTGGAGAGCATCCTGTGCTGCAGCATCAACGTGTGGCATGGAGGCTGCACAGCTGCAGAAAGAAAAGCTTTGCAGAGAGAAGTGAAGGCTGCACAGAAGTCTGTTAGAGTCAGCCTCTCCACCATCACAGACATCTACACCTCCAGATGCAGGAAGAGGGCCACCTGCATCATGAAGGACCCCACTCACCCAGCACACATACTTTTTGCCCCGCTCTCCTCAGGCAGGAGGTTAAGGAGCATTAAATGTAGAACCACTAGACTGAGGAACAGCTTCTACCCTGAGGCTGTTAGACTCATGAATCTCTAACCAGAATAATCACTGTGAAAAATCACATCATGTTGCTGCTGATCTGTTTCATGATGCTGTGTTCATTCGTACTCATCTGCTCACACAGGCTCATGTTCGTGCTGCTGTATGGCACATTGTTTTTATACTACTAGTGCTTAGCGTAGTTTTAGTTAATGTTTTTCTTAGTTCATATCTTAGATCTTATCATTGTTTTTTCTTTTACATTTTATACTTCTGTTGGATGTAACTGGGACCCCGTGTACACAATTTCGTTCCACCTCATGTACCAAATGCTGTGCGAATGACAAATAAAGAACCTTGAATCCTTCTGACTCGGTCTGTGCCAGAGCCCACTGCAGTTTTATTTAACTGATTTGGTTAAAATCCCTATTAAAATCTGCGTGTCAGGGGCAGGGAGAACACAATATAGTGGCTGGTGTTGCTTCAGCCCCTGCTCGCAGTGTATCATCGGCCCTTACTGAGGTATGCACAGCTTTCCTCTGCACAGGGCTATGAAAGCAATTGTGATTGTGATTCTGTAGTCAGCAAAACGCTTGAATGGTCCTGAGTTAGCATGCGCAGACTCTCTCACACACAGTGTCCCATACTGGGCTGCTGATTACTTCAACCCATTTGGCTCTCACTTATCCTTTCATTCTCCCTCTCTGGCCGTCTGTCACATACCACAGAGTTTGTCATTAGCTAATAGTGAAAACATGACTCACTGTGAACATACACTACAGCTAACATTACAGGGACTGCTGATTTTGTCAGCTATGTTCGACCTCTTGGGATATTAAAAATAACTCTGTTCCACGTAGCCAAACCTAACAATAAATAATGCATGCCTGTGTTTATTCAGGAGGCCCTTTCATTTGAGGATGACCGCCTAATGGAAAGTGTCTGAATGCGTTAACGTAAGGTAATCCAACCTTAGCACGGCTGCGCTGTAATAAAAAATAAAAACCCCGATAAGGCATTCAAATGGAGCGCATCACTTTCAAAGCTTATCAAAAGCAGAGGAGACCACCAACTAACAAAGACAGCTCTTCAGTCATGCTCTTTCTGAGCAGATATCAGTTGTTGGAATGATATACGAGCTGGGTGGGGCCTAAGTGTATAAACACAGGCTGTACTCTCTCTGCACTCTTGCTGTACTGTAGGCAGCACCAGCAGCGGCTGCACTGTTTGATTAAGGTATTCAAATAAAGGAGCAAACTCCTCTTTCATGGTGAAACTAAAAGAAAGTGACAAACAGCCATGGAATGATTACAAACCGACGTGTTGGATGAAACATGGACATATTCGCGTAAAATGCTTATCATAACTCCTAAATTGTTCTGCGTGTGTATTCTATGCAGCCAGAAAAAGGCAGCTTGACAGCATTCAAACACGCTGCGGTAAGTTTTGCATCGCCATCAGAGCGAAAGTGGCTATAATGGTATCGTTTTGTGTCATTTCTACTCAGATGCGGAGGGCACAACAGCAATAAAGCTGCACACGGTGAACTAAAAGTAAGGATTGTAAAGTACTGAAGTAGACAGCTTCAGGGTTATTTATAGATCTTTCTGTATCATCTCAACCTGCGCTTGATGCACTTTCTCTGCTCATTTCAAGCATCTCCTCTCTTTCGGGATTCTTTACTGTTTTGCACGTGAAGTATTTGTACGAACCAGTACGGGGAGTGCAAACATCTGACATCGAACACAGGAGAAAGTTCACATTTCCTTCCTGTACGGGTGTTTTGATGATCATGTGCAAGGCTGCTAAACTAACAGATTATCAGTTACAGGTTATCAACGATCAGAGCACCACGAAGGTAAAATCTTGCATTAAAAGTTATGAACAAAACAGTGTGACAACAAAAGTCTGCACATAAACTCCAAAAGGGGTAAGTAGGTTTGCAAACAGACAACCCATCATGTTGACATACAAACATTTATTAAAATACATGTGCATTGCTCAGATTAACACAAAAAGAAGTCTTTGCTCACACGATAAATTACTTTTCTTTAAATAAATACATTGCTTTTGAGTTGTTATCTCAGCAGAACATGCTCAAGTCAACAAATTCAGCTGCAAACCAAAATATCCACATGAATATGAAACGTAAGCTATTAAAGAAATATATCTCGGCCCAATGATTAGCCTTTTTGCTTCCCTGCAGCTTCAAACGAAGACCTGAGAGGAATTCATTAGGCAGCAAACCAAGGCTGTCAGACATAATTCGTAACAGGTAGACCTGATCTGTACATGCAGCAACTACACGACAAATCAAGTGTCTGTTTTATGCCACAATCAGCTTGACAGGTGTCAGAGGAGAGGAACTTGACCTCACTGCGTTAACAGGATACCAAATGATCCCTGCTGGACTCATTTGCATCGCTGGTGAAGGTAGTTAGTGTTTCCCGTGATGATAAAAAAAAAAAACTGCAAGTCTCTTTGTAGAAAATATTTCAAAGTAAAGAGCAAAGTGGGGGGATTTAAATAATTCAAGCAGACACTTGTAATTTTAAGGGGTGCCACACTTTCGTGTCATCGGCAGTAGTTCACTTCTGAAAGCTTTTTATATCATCTACTATCTCAGCTTTGTTTCCAGGAGTCATACCGTGCGCATAGATAGCAGCGTATTGTTGGGATTATCCGCATGGAGGATGATCCTAATTCATTTGACCTACAAAAAGATAGCCTGCGCAGGGTGAGACGCTTATCTAAGCCTAATTGTGCAGGTAAAAATTGAACTAAAAAAAAAAAAAACAACATTACACACATAAATCTTAAACATCAGTTTGTTTTTTTTTTGTTTTTTTTAATAAGGCTTTAAATCAACTTTTTAAGACTTGAACTTTGAGTTGATGACTGGAATGTTCCATGTTCACACACAGAGAGGTTTTCCATTGCCCACACAGTAAGAAAAACATCCCCAGCTGTGACTTCTGCATCATTCCCGTCACTGTCTAAGGTGATCTTTAATCTCGAAGAACTCAAAAAGTATATTTATCTCATAACAACGACAGGTAACATCTATAGGACCTGATGATCCGTCACAATCCAGCCATGGTAAGTCACAACAAACAAACTCAGATTCAGGGATTGATGAAGTTAATAACACCAGCGGAGGTTGTTTTAATAAGTTTAAAGTTATCCCTTTTGCATGGATCACCTGTTTGTAGTGACCAAACTGGTGCTTTTATAGCATGCATTGGCAAAATCATTATATTGACGCCAAGCTTGTGTTTCTACAGACTGTTTGCTTTTCTGGACCAGGTTGCTCTAATATTATTGCTCTTTTATTTAGAGCATGCGTTTAATGCGACAGGAAATGTCATCTGCACGCCTTTCAGTGGAGTCAGCAGGTCAAAAAGCCAAAAAAAGCTGCAGGAAAAGTGGCAAAAAAAAAAAAATTATAAGTGAGTAAAGAAGAGAAGAAGAGTGATGCTTAGCAGCCGCTCTGTGGGTCTCTTTACAAAGTAATTAACAGTACATTACAGGCACACAGCCATTTAATCGCTGAACTCCCTGTGGAAAAAGCATGTAGGAAATCATAGAGGGAACATCATGTTGGAGGAGAGCTCAGTCTGTGGGGGCAGTATGGAATCTATACATCCCTTGGTTTCTGCGCGCTGTGAAAAATGCCACGCGTTTTATTTATTTCTTCTTCTTTTTTAACTAAAGACCCCATAAAGTTGCATCATTCTTTTAAAAGGCAAACTCAGACATTAAACCTGACCATCGACCTGTCCTGTCCACTTTATTTGCTGACACATGACATTTTTGTCTTTAAAGGGGTGTAAGTGCGCACATAAAAAAAAAAAAAAAGCATGCGTTTGCGCCGGACAGGTGAGCGTGCACGCAGCCAGTAGTCTTTTATTTACCTTGTTGGAGTGGTAATAGTCCAGAGAGCTCAGGCAACTTGGATCAGTCGGTAGAGAGCATGAACCCACATTGGCCGGGGGTGCAGGGTAAAATCTCACGTCCATCTCAGGTTGTGCGACACTGAAGGCATGAAATCACTTTCGGCGTGTTCTGCTCACTCTGTTGTCTCAGCAAAAACACAGCGCGAAAGCAGGAGAGAGAGGGAGAGAGAGAGAGAGAGGCAGACAGAGAGGGGGGGGAGAGAGAGAGAGAGAGACTGAGAGAGAGGGGGGAGGAAGAGAGAGGAAAACAAAAATAAATAAAGAAAAGGAAAAACAAGTGGCGGAGTTTGAGTCTGCGCTCCTTCAAAATCCGTCCGCGGCCGAACTTCGGCACCAACTCTGCTCTGACGCGCGCAGTCCCGCTCCGGGCTCCGGGATGCCCAACGCGCACTCCAGCGCAAATTCACTGATACGCACGTGTTGACAAAACAATGCAACGCTCCAACTTAAGCTCCAGCTTTATGAGATTTTCTTCTTCTTCTTGTTTTCTCGCTCTTGTCCTTAAAAATGTTGCAGCCTCTGTGATTGTTGCCACCCCACCACTCAACAACTGCGCTCAGGACTCCATACAGGCTTTGTTATGGCCGTGCATATTCTTGCACTGGTTCCAGTACAGAAGTGGTTGGACTTCCCTCTCTCTCCCCCTCTCTCTCTCTCTCTCACTCTGCCATGCGACCTCTGCCGATAATAAACGGGAAAGAGGAACAGAGGGAGTGAAGGGGGGAGGGGAGATTGGTGGCTGCCTTGGCAACCGCTCTCCTTTCTGCAACTGCGCGCCTCTGATTAGCTGGAAATGTAGTGGTGTGCACGGCTGTGCATTATACAGCGCACTCTGCTTCCATCAGGACTTCATAAAGGCTTCCATTTGGGTTATTGTGCCAAGGCGGATGGGGAGGAGGCTGCACGCACTCTCTCTTTAACTCCACCGTGATTTTAAATTTTGTTGTTTGAAAAAAGACGTGACGCTTTTAAAACCTATAACTCAGTGAACGCATTTATTTTAATGTTTCGTTAATAGGTTAACCTAACTCGACTGATTTTATGTTAGTTTATGGAGAAGAGTAAGCGGGATGTATGTTTTGCATTTGTGTCTATCTGTTAGCAAAATATCTCATGGATCACTGGACGGATTTTAACTAAACTCTTAGAAACTAATCACTGGACATACATCTACAACTGATTAACTTTTGGAGTCAATTTAATTTAAGATAGCCGCCATAGTTAACTGATATTAGAAAACACATAAATGGCAATAATTGAATCAGTTTCACAGATGATGAGTTTAAATTCGGTGTGGTAGAAGCTGAGAGCCACCCCAGTAATAAATAAGTCAGAAATAAACTCATTGTGCAAGATTTTTGCTTAAAATGTTGTCATTAACTGTTAAAGTTCACACTGTTAGTAAAATGATCTCATGAACCACTAAATGTGCTTTTTTTAAAACTCTCAAAAAAATCTATCATCTGATGAAATGAACCTACTTCTAAATGGTCACCCAAGCTAACTGTGCATGCTTCAAAATAAGACTAAAAGAGCCATAACTTCTCCTTAACATATCACTTTAATTTAAAGCTCATTGGAGGTGATGGGCGACGAGCATGCCTTCAAGCACTGCCAGGCCTTTATTTTAATTGAACTTTTGAGTAAATTTAACGTAGGTGGAAAATTCGACAAACCTCTAAGTCTAAAGAGCTAATAAGAAAGCAAAAGTTGTATAAGAGAACATTTAAAAGTGCATAATATATGATGTGCTCTGGGTGGAGAATGCACAAGATTTTAATCTTGCATTGCCGTACAGCTGCAAATGCTAGTAAGGAGCCGCTAGAGCTCAGAAAGGCTGCTTCTGACAGATCCCTGAATGTGATGGATAGCACACCCTTGCCCTGTGATGTGCATGCACATTTGATGTTGAAATGGCCTATCCATGGGACCATTGTCTTTCAATCATGTCAAGGCAAAGTACAGAACGGAGCACATTTTCTGCAGCACGGCGTTATTACTGTGCCACAGTTTACAGCCCGTCCATCCACCCTGCCTGAGCACAAATGTCCCACATGCTGCTGTTTTTATTTAAATATATCCAATTTAATTCATTTTGTGCAGTGTACATGCATTAAAAATATTGATGCTCTTTACGTTCTTTTAAACGTGTTGCAGAGAGCCTTTCATTAGGTGAACCCGGACGTGAACAAAAGAGCCTGTTACTCTCAAAAGGGTGTAATTGTTTTCACACAAACTCTGACAGGAGCATCTGCTCACTGTTGCAGTTTATGTGCTCCTAATGTATGGAGTGAAACCCAAGGAGCTGCTCATTATTACAGCAGGTCTATTCTTTTACAGGCCCTCACTGGTAAGCACCTCCTGCCACGGTTTTCGACCCGGCACACACAGGCTTGACCGCATGGCTCGGTGCCATAGCTTCATGGGAATGGAATGTGGAGAGCTGTGTGTGCAGGGCTTCGTTCCCAGCATCCCTCACTGCCCAGGCGCATGCTAATGATCAGTATTATTGAAGCACAATTGATGGGCTAGCAACCAAACAAGAGAAACTAATTACTACTAAGGCTTTATTGTCCTTTAATTACTGAAGCTCTATGGCAATTAGTGCCGCACAAAGACGCAGCCCTACTTTAATCTGAAATAAAATGTGATGCAGATGAAAAAAAGATTGAAAGATGAAAGGTAGATAAGATAATTTGGCTTCGATGGGCTTTTCAGAAACGATGCCTGATTTGAGGAAGGCTCACAACAACAAAAGGACTGCTGAGAGAGAGAGAGCTGCGCTAATTTAGATGAAAAAAGCGGAAAAAATCATCTCAAAACAGAACCAGCACATGATCCTTTTTTGACCTTGAAGGGATAAAAATGATTGCAAAACAGCCAGCAAGCTTTTCATATACAAAGTATATATATATATATATATATATATATATATATATATATATACATATATATACATGATGTATATATACACATCTATATATGATGTATATATACACATCTATATGTAGATGTGCATACATATAGATGCACATTTGTTCATATAAATTTTTAACCATAAAGCCTACAGTCTGAGGTTACTTTAAATGGTAATTTACAAAGTTGCCACTATAATGAAGAGATTTATTTGTAGATTGATCACTTTTCACACGTTTCAGGTTTATTTCTGTTATTTGAGCAAAATATTCATGACTGTCCGTAGAACAAAAAAAATGTATAGAACTGACAATGACTGATTACCTTTAGACATTAACATTTAAATCTTTTTTTTTTTTTACAACACAGATGTGTCATAATAAAGAGCATTAGGAAGACTTTGCATCAGCCAACAATATAAAAGATTGTTGTGTTGAATGCGTTTGTGCTCTGTTGCTGTTATTACTTCTTGTTGCTAGAGGGCGCTGTTGTGACTGTGTAGTGCCGAAGAGACTGTAAGAAGAAGAAAGAGAGCAAGGTACAAAAATCATGACAATACTGTATTCTGTAAGGCAGTAACTTTAATAAAGTTCATCATTTTAACTGTCATTTCCTGTTTCATTATAACTGCTATGACAAACTGATGAATATTATCTAAAATGTTTTGAATATTGACCCAGTAAATTGGCCAAGATGACGCTGTGTTCATGCTGTGTTTCATGCATGTACTTCTTCATTGACAATTTCACAATTACTAATGTACATTTGTAAAATCAAGCACCATGTCCCAAATATATTCATAGCTGTTTTTGATATTCAACGTCAGCATTCAGCACTCGTCATTTGGTCCTTGGCTTTTTAATTGACTTTTATGTACAAACATATAATCAATTTGTTTTGTTGCCATTTTGGATTTCAGTTTTCTTAATGTGCAGTTTTTCTGGGTGTTGTAATGACTTAAAAATCTGCTCCAGTAGTACTTGCTTTATTTGTTCTTCCTATACTTTTGCTTTTAGCTTTTGGCTTTTGCTTTGCAATGTTTAATTCTTAGCTACTGCTTTGCAACGTTTCCCTTACAGTCCTGTTCTTTTAGCTAGACTTGTGATTTTTGCCGTTAGCTAACTTTTTATCACTTTTAGTTTACACTTAGTTATTTTTAAGCTTTTCTTTAGCCTTCTGTTGTTTTCAACTTTTAGCTGGCGTTTTGCTATTTTAATTGTTTTGTGACTTTAGCTTTAGCTAATCATCCTTGAACTAGCAGGTTGCTACTTTTAGCTAGTACAGTTTCACAATTTGCCTTTAGCCATCGTTATGTTACGTTTAACAAGCATTTTGCTGTTTCCAGCTTGTAGCTAACTTCTCCTGCTCTTATCTAGTGTTTTAGTAATTTTAACATTTGGCAATCCTTTTAAACATTCAGTTAGTGAATTTTTTATTTTTTACTTTCAGCCTTGACTGCATTCCTTCTGCTTTTAGTTAGCCTTGTGATCCTTTCAGCTTTGAGCTAGTATTTAGCTTATTTTAGCTATAACAACCTAATTTTTGCTTTTGTCAGAAAAGTTCAGCAGTCGTTCAGCAGTGAGCATTCATACTGCATTTTCACAAAAAATGCAACTTCTCTCATTTATTTAGCATTCTTTTAATTTATCTGAAATGTTTGTTATTCACTTATTGTAGTTTTTGTTAATTTGTTGTCATTCTTCTTTTGGCTGCTCCATTCGTCTGGGTCATCACAGCAAACTAACACAAAGACTGGACAATTGTTTTTACTCTTCCTGACACAACCACAGATCACAGAGCTACCGCAGCCATCTGTGTGCAACCTGGGGCTGCGGGGGGTGTGGTGGTGGGGCATATGAGGATGGAGGTGCTCACCTTTCCCATCTATGGTTGATGTTTTTGGTCCAGGGATTCGAACTAGCAACCTTCCAATCACAGGCTTGCCTTCCCCAACCTCTGCCACTACTCCCCCATATGTTGCCATTCATTAATCAAGCATTTGAATTTTCCTTATAATACAGATAAGTCTCTTTGTTTTGTACTAAAGCCGCGTCTTTATCTGGTCTTTTGAACATTTTTTTTTTTTAATCTTCTCTGCAATGAGACATGCCTCATGGGATGAAAATGTAGTTTCTCTGAGAAAACTTTTTGTAATAAAATTTAGCTCTTGTTTGTTGGGTTGTATTAGTTGTCTTCCAGTAATAACAAAAACAGCTAAAAGATCATCAAGAGCAGATGTCAGAGTATGGGGAGGTCCAACACAATCTTTTACAAAGACGCTCACAT